GAGTCCCGGCCTGGGCCTCGGGCACCCTGGTAACTCAGCAACCTGTGTATATATATACATATAGATATATACACGCACACACTCAAATGTGTATACGTGCACACATACATTTACACATACATATACAAGCCATACACATACCCATGTCTAAATCTAAATATACTTGTCTACATATCCATGTCTCCATACATGTACATATACATACGCATTGTCTACACGCCCCACACACATACTATCCATATCCACACCCACGTCCGCAGCCCGAGGTCCAGGGGAAGCGGCTCCCCCAGCGGTGGCTGTGCGCAGAGATCTCCTCCGCGGGGCCCCGCCCAGGGCACGCCCGAGCACCCCGCGCACGCAGCCCAGGATCAAGAGCACGTACGCCTCCAGGAGCGCGAAGAGGCGCTCCTGCCGCGCCGCCGCACCCCCCGAGTCCCCTGGGGCCTGGCGTTAGGTCGGGCGTGCCCCTTGACAGGGGGAGTACTCAAAAATAGTAAGAATAATCAGGGGACGACTTGTTTTTCCCCACATCCTGAGTGGGGTTCTTGTTTTCCCAGAACACCGTCTCCTTCCCACCCACCTCCCGCTCCATCTTCCATACAGCACAATATTATTCCTACCACACACACACCATACCATACCATAGTTCCTACCACACATACCATACCATACCATACCATACCATACCACACCATACGTACCATACCGTACCATACCATACCATGGCGTACCATAGCATACCATACCATATCACACCAATGCCACACCGTACCATACCATACCATACCTCCAGTACCATACCATACCATATCATACCATACCGTACCATACCATACCTACCATACCATTCCATACCACTCCATACCGAAAACCATACTACTTACATGGTTTCGTGCCCCTCCCACCCCTCCAGGGAGGCCCCGCCTGAGCGAGGAGGGTATCGGAATACCATACTATTTACATGGTTTCGTGCCCCTCCCACCCCTCCAGGGAGGCCCCGCCTGAGCGAGGAGGGTATCGGAATACCATACTATTTACATGGTTTCGTGCCCCTCCCACCCCTCCAGGGAGGCCCCGCCTGAGCGAGGAGGGTATCGGAATACCATACTATTTACATGGTTTCGTGCCCCTCCCACCCCTCCAGGGAGGCCCCGCCTGAGCGAGGAGGGTATCGGAATACCATACTATTTACATGGTTTCGTGCCCCTCCCACCCCTCCAGGGAGGCCCCGCCTGAGCGAGGAGGGTATCCGAAAACCATACTATTTACATGGTTTCGTGCCCCTCCCACCCCTCCAGGGAGGCCCCGCCTGAGCGAGGAGGGTATCCGAAAACCATACTATTTACATGGTTTCGTGCCCCATCCCACCCCTCCAGGGAGGCCCCGCCTGAGCGAGGAGGGTATCCGAAACCATACTATTTACATGGTTTCGTGCCCCTCCCACCCTCCAGGGAGGCCCCGCCTGAGCGAGGAGGGTATCCGAAAACCATACTATTTACATGGTTTCGTGCCCCTCCCACCCCTCCAGGGAGGCCCCGCCTGAGCGAGGAGGGTATCCGAAAACCATACTATTTACATGGTTTCGTGCCCCTCCCACCCTCCAGGGAGGCCCCGCCTGAGCGAGGAGGGTATCCGAAAACCATACTATTTACATGGTTTCGTGCCCCTCCCACCTCTCCAGGGAGGCCCCGCCTGAGCGAGGAGGGTATCCGAAAACCATACTATTTACATGGTTTCGTGCCCCTCCCACCCCTCCAGGGAGGCCCCGCCTGAGCGAGGAGGGTATCGAAAACCATACTATTTACATGGTTTCGTGCCCCTCCCACCCCTCCAGGGAGGCCCCGCCTGAGCGAGGGGGTATCCGAAAACCATACTATTTACATGGTTTCGTGCCCCTCCCACCCCTCCAGGGAGGCCCCGCCTGAGCGAGGAGGGAGGGAGGCCCCGCCTGAGCGAGGAGGGTATCCGAAAACCATACTATTTACATGGTTTCGTGCCCCTCCCACCCCTCCAGGGAGGCCCAGCCTGAGCGAGGAGGGTATCGGAAAACCATCCTATTTAGATGGTTTCGTGCCCTTCCCACCCCTCCAGAGAGGCCCCGCCAAAGCGAGGAGGGCATCAAGAAAATGGGTCCCACGAAACCGTTAATCTCTTTATGTGGGGAACTCCGTTAGCATAATTTGTTGTTCTGTTCCCCCTCTCCCGCGCAGCGACCGAATCAAGGACACTCAGAAGCAAACGGCCCTGGGTGAAACAGGCATGCCCTCAGAAGACCTAAAGGAGGAGGAGGAGGAGGAGGAGGAGGAGGAGGAGGGGCGATTTGTTTTGAACTATGTTTGACCATTTTGGAATATTGCTCGACGATGCTTCTTCTTCGTCCGAAAAAACCGCCTAGGGGGCGCGCCGCCGCACCCACCCGAGTCCCCTGGGGCCTGGCGTGAGGTCGGGCGTGCCCCCCTACAGGCGGATTTTGGGCGAAGATTGAGACAGAGCCAACAAATGTTCAAATATGATCAGGAATAGTCCAGAATTCGTTTTTTTTACTATTTTTGAATATCCCAAAAATAATCCAAAAACGATTATAAAAAATAGTCCAGACTGTCTCTTTTTACTATTTTTTGAACATCCCTCCTGGACAGGGACAGGACCGCTTCAGCCTTGCGCCCTCCGCGGGCTCCTGGGACTCCAGACCCCCGACGAACTGGGAACCCTGCGCCCGCCGCCCATCGAGTTGCCTGAACCGTGGATCGGCGGGGGTGGAGCCCGGGCTTCGTCGCCGACGCCCCCTGGACCCCCGACGTTTTGCCTCCATCACAGCGTCGGACTCGGTCTGGACCCCTTCCCCAGGACCGCTTTTGTCCGTCCTAAACAGTTTGGTTGCCAGCCCAGGGGCGCGGTGAGGGCCCCCGGGCGGCCGAACGTGGGGAGAAACCTGCCGTCGCGACTTTTGCACAGCGCGAGGGGCCTGGGGATGCCTCAGTGCATGTACGCGCGAGTCCTATATAACTCATCCGATGTGGCATTTTGCAGCCTGCGTCGATGCTTGCCGGCCACGGGGCCCGGAGGGAGCCCCTCGAACCGAAAAGAGAGAAAAACGGCGAACACAGCGGAGAGCCTCCCGCACCCCTACCCGTGGGTGGGACGGAGGGGGCAATGGGGGCGCGCTGTCAGAGGGGGGTCCCCGCTCGACCGGGAGCCTCCCACGGGGCCCGACAACCCGCACCCGCACCCACAGCCCGCCCTCCTCCCTCCTCCCTCTGAGAACCCGCACCCGCACCCACAGCCCGCCCTCCTCCCTCCAACCTCCGACAAGCCGCACCCACACCCACAGCCCGCCCTCCCCCCTCCGACCTCCGACAACCCGCACCCGCACCCACAGCCCGCCCTCCCCCCTCTAACTAGAGGGCTCCTAGATGGGCTCGGAGTAGATGGGGTCGAAGGACCGAGCCGCATCGCCGATACATCGCCGATGCATCGGCGATGCATCGGCGATGCATCGGCGATGCAGCAGCGATGAGGCGTCGACGTGGGCGATGCATCGGCGACGTCGACGTGAAGAAAATCGGGCTCCACATCGAGCTGCATCGGCGATGTATCGGCGATGCGGCGCGATCATCCGACCCCATCTACTCCGACCCCATCCAGGAGGCCTAGACTAACCTCCCCAGGGGTATGGGCGTGTGCTGCCCACTCGCCCTGAGAACTGCGACGGGCCTCCCGCCGTGAGGCTGCCCCACGGCGCGAGGGAGCCCCGGGGTCCCCGTCGGGCCCCCGAGAAGCCCTCGAGGCGGGCGCCGCGGCGCCGTCCCCCGAGCGGCTCGGGCGAGGGAGCCGGCCCCGTGGGCAGGAGGCCCCTCGGGGGCGCTCGGGGCCCGCGCCCCCTCTCGGGGACCGGAGAGGGCGGGGAAGGGCCGGGAGGGGAAACGTCCCAGGCCTCGAGCAGGGGATGGGCTGCAGAACTGATTCACCCCCAAAAACGTGCTGAGATGGAATCCTGCGAATGGTGCGTCATCCTCATGTTCTCCGTAGATCTGCAGAGCATGTTGCGCACTTGTCGCAGACTCGACGCGCAAACCAATTTTGGGGTACGCCGTGGAGAAGATTAGGTCGTGCGTGTCTTCCTGCAGGCGCAATCAGAGATAGTCAAACAATTTTTCAAAAACAATCACAAACAGTGCAAACATCGCCCCTGGACTATTCTTTGCCCAGTCGGGAATCTCCCTCCTGCAGAGGGCCACGACCGGCTGCAAGGAAGAAGGCCCTCTCGCGACCCCTCGCGACGGGGGCCCCTACTGAGTCGGTTACACGCAGGAGTGACCCTGGGTAAGAGTGACCTTTGGTGCGCGGCTTTTCGGGGGCCGCAGAGGGGACCAGACCTGGGCGCGCAGGCCGCTGCTCCTGCTCCGTTTTCGGCCCTCCGGGGACCCATCTGTGCCCGCTCCAAAGGTCACTCCGGCGGAAGGTCACACTCTTACGTCTGGTCGATACTGGTTGGGCGCCCGAGTTATCCAGGGTAACTCGGGTCCGGGGTTCCCGAAAAACGAACCCGAGTTAGCCCTGACCCGGAATACCCCTGATGATTTTGGGGCTCTGGGCGCCCGAATTATCCGGGGTAACTCGGGTCCGGGGCAAATCGGGCTCGGAGTCCCGAAAAGCGAACCCGAGTTAGCCCTGACCCGAGTTACCCCGGATAATTCGGGGCTCTGAACTGGGGCCCGCTGTTGTCCCAGACCAACAGCGGCCGCTGTTGGGCAGGCGGCCTCCTGTCTCAAATCGACTATAGACACAGGCCGCGGCGGCGTGGACGGCGAGTCCTGTTCCAAATGAACAGGAACTGCTGTTGGGCATCGTGCCCATTCTTTCCGTGCCCACTTCGTTCGTGCAGAAATCAAGGGGACGTAAGACCCGGGTACAGGGGACTCGGAAATCCCCGACGAGGTCGTCAAAAAACTGACGAGGCCGAGCCCGCATTTTGACGAGACCTCCCGCTGCAGACATCC